CACGGCATGCTCACTGATGGGGTGAAAAAGCCTATTTATTTATTTTACCTTAAAACTTCATTGGCATAAGATCCCACAACTGACTGCATATGGACTACAAACATCCTGGCAGATACCCCAAGAGCTCCACTCAATCAAATATCCAAACCCAGGATTAAGTCTGTCTCATGGGATCCTTATGGAGGATGTAAACAAATGAGCCCTGCCAGCTAGTAAATTATTACTGTGAACATCCGGAACACTCTTATTTGACCTACTGACATTTTCATAAATTCCCTGAGGGTGAATTCCCTGTAGTAGCAAGGAATAAAATAAGAAACGACGACTTCTTTTTTGACCCCACTCCTGGCAAATGACATCCACAATCCAAGATGGCCCTTGCTGAATCCTGGTGCGGTGAGACACAGCAGTCTATTATTTGACCCCTGTGGGGATAGATGAGGCCTCCAAAGAAATTCCCTCAGAGGAGTGAGTAAGGACATCCCTCAGTGAAGATATGAAGTGGATAAAAACTACAGAGGAACAGGGATCGACTGATGGTGTGGGAATAGGAATGCAAAACCAGCAAGGGAAGCATGTATTCTCATAGAGAGGAAAACTGACAGACCTGGGAATAAGCCCCTCTAGCCCTGCTTGATGTGTGTAGGTATTCTCCATGCTGAACTCTTTATATTGTTGCTCACAGCCATACAGCTCAGAAGCCAGTCAAGCTTGAAAGATTTTCCTTTTAAAGGAACAGGTATGGATTCTCCTTGTCCTATTCAATCTTGGCGTTGTTGGGGAATCTTACAAAACCCACAGTACCAGAGAAATATGAACACGGGACTATCACATAAGTGTCTTCACTTTTTCTTAAATACAAGGCAAGAGAGAACATCAGGTGTCTTCCACTGTGCTGTGATGATATACAACAAACGGGGTCTGGAAAAGGAAACTAGCAGGCACAGAAGTATCAATAATAAGCTTTTACTACCACTTCCTTCAAAAATACCACTGGTAGCTAGATCTCGGTCAGAAATTATTTTTACTTGCTGTGAGATCAAGATAGGAACAGCAAGTCTTATCAATAAATAAATAAAAATGTCAAGTCTACAATAAATTGTAAACATTACATTAAAAAAAAAAGATCCCAGATCTCTATATCACTTCAAACTGCGTTATCTTCATCATAGAAAAAAATGGTTTTGATCACATTTTAAGACATACCATCTCATGCAATAATGGAAAACAGATTTCATTGCGTATTTTCTCCTGGATTACTTAAATTACTTTCAGAATCTCAGAAGCCATTCCAAGCTCAAAGTTTTGCTTTATTTATCTTTATTTCTTTAATTTTATTTATTATTTCAATTATCCCTGGGCAAATTCATCCCTGATCTCAGGCCATTGGCTACAATTGTCCAAGAGGGAGGATGGACTTGGCGCCTGCGAGACTGGCAACGGGGAAGGCTCTAACACAGTAATATACAGTACTAAGAGCAGAAAAAGTATTTGAGTCAGTTTCAAGCTCAAGCTAAAAATAGAAAATTAAAATTAAAATCTCCCAGGCCAGATTCTCATGCTCAGACCCATTAATTTTAAAAGCTGAGACCACTCAGGGCCTTCTCCCGGGAGGTACTGAGTGACCCTTAACTCCAATGAAAGTTACTGAGAGTGAAAAGAGCTCTGATGCTCACAGGATTGGGCCCTTCAACAGGCTAAGCTCCTTGTGACCAGCTAAGAAACAGCCCCCCAGCATTACCCAGTCCTGCGGGGGGCTCCAGGATCACCCCTCCAGTGGATTCCATTAAATGCCAATTGGAATTTACTCAGCAGTTTTCAGGACCAAGTTCCTAGGCCAAGAAATCACTACTGTCCCAGCAGGGGTGACAAGATATACAGAAAGTTTCAGCTCTCACTACTGACATCCACACACAGGAGAGAGGAATCCCCATGGCTTCCTATTATGAGCTGCTGCCTCTTTGCCAGTTCACAAATTTTTAAGGGGAAATAAACAGTTTTTCAGGTAATAATATTCTTCTGGCAGTGTTTTTGCTGTGTCACAAGGTTAGGTGCATAAACAGCAGTCACTTCAGATATAACACTGAATATAAAATTCTTACTTTCTCTTGGTCCAACACAATCACATGATCCTGGCTTCCTTTTGCATTTTCATTGCCCGACATCCATCTCTATGGATTATCCCAGGAAAAGCAAGTTCCATATTACTCAGCTGGAAGGAAAAATGGAAAGGAGTTATTAAAGATACTGGACTCACTTCATCAAATGACAGAGAACAAACTTGTATAGTTGTAAGGTAATAACAGAGAATGAGCGACAGCTTTGTAGGCTCCGCAAAGCAGAGCTCAGTGCTAACCAGTGGATGAATTGCCATGTTGCAAAAAAAAAAAAATCCCGAAAGCTGACACCTGAAAGGCAGGCTCAGCAGGGACTCCAAAGAAGGTGAATTTGCAAGAGACCAGGTTGCCAGTGACACCAAGGCACAAAAAGTGCTACTTGACAACTTGAAGGTCTTTATTCAACAGAGTTATCAGCTGTGGGTCCTGCTAGCTGTCTCAATTTTATGCCAGATTTTGCAATGTTGTAGGGAAGAGCTTGGAAAAATGACCTGAAGGTGCCCTAGGGACTCAAAAATCAGAAAACAAATAAATCAAACTGTAAATATGTTTTTAATCTTACGATTCTTGGACACCCATGATTGCTGAAGAGTTGATATTCTAGGGCAATCAGTACTGGCCATGCTGCAGAATGATGACAGAGATACAGATCCTGCCCAGTATGAAGAGGAAGGATTTTCACAGTGTCCTGCAGAAAGGTAGTAAGGGTCGACGTTCATTCCACTTTTCATCCACAGGGAAAAGCAGAGTGAATAACTTTTCGTTCTACTCCTGGTTGGTTGCACACATTAAGCACTGGAATGAGGATGGTCTGGGGTGAGACTGAAGCAAACATTCACACGTTGCTTCAGAAGGAGTTTCAGAGGCTTGGCTCCATTGCCCGGTGCTGCTCCCATCGCACTACAAGGATGCCCAATTTCACCATCTGAAAACCCCCAATCAACAACCGGCGGCCTTGTGCTGCCCTCTCACGGGCTACAAACAGCAGAGCAACACCTCTGCTCGCCGAGACCCGGCAGCCAGAGGCAATAAATAGTACGGAAGGTTTGGAGTGTCCCTGTCATCATCAGCTGTATTTATGGCATGCTGCAGTGACTGCACAACCACAGCCAGAGCTTTAGCAGCTCTGCTCCATGCCTGGCTTTCCATAAGAGGGTACAGGTCTCACAAAGCAAAGCTCCCGTGACCACAGCTGCAGTGTTGGGTGATGACAAAATACCAACCAGCTTACAAGCACGCAGCACTCAGTGCTCAGGTCCACTCATCTCTGCTCCGTCATAACTAGTGGTCTCATTTGCTCATGGAATTGCCACCCTCGCTGTCAAAGACCTGGGGAAGTAAACAGGAGAAGAGGGAGGATTGCACCATATCCAGTCCAACCCCATGTGCTGGGCTGACGATCCCAAAGACTGAATCTCCTGCCTGCCAAGTGAAGAGGCAGTGGTCTGACCTCAGAGGCTGGGCAGCCCTGGTTTGGCTGGGATCCAGAGCACAGCTTCTGCCCTGTTGGGTGGAGGGGAGCAGGGATTACAGCCTCTCACAAACCTCCTCACCCCAGTAAACCACACTGAGCCTTCTGCTGACATCGCCGACAAGTGTCCGACTTTTAAACCACGTGCCAGCACCAACAGCAATGGTGTGAGTCGCACATTCGCAACAGAGAGCTGAAAAACTTTCATGCAGCTTATTTCAGCACCTCCGGCTCTTGTGAGAAAACCTTGCAGAGGTGACCAAAGTGCTTTTAAAACACCACAGTGGTAGGAATGCTATCCCTTTGCTACACCAAATTATTTGGGATACACAATGAGTTTCCACGATACTTATGCAGAGCACAGCACAGGCCTGTGTACTACTACATGAAGTAATTAATTCTTTTCTTCATTTAAAAGCCTCATGATTTTTTTAAGGCAATCCCATGATGCGTGGGGGCCCGGGTTGTCAGCTTGGAGTGCTAAAATGAATTCAACCCCCGTCTCAGACTTAGAAAACACAAGGATCTTTCAGTTAGGGAATTTGGGGTTTGTTGTATTTGCCTTCTCACACGTGAAACTTGGGGAGTATGCAATAGGCCTCATTTTCTTGCCCCACTAAAGGGGCTGGAAACTCACTATCCCTTTTCGGAAAGAGCTGAGATCCTCGGGCATGAAGTGACTCCAGGAACAGCGGCGTGAATGGAGACCCAGCGCTGGCCCCCATGCCCCCCTCCAGCCCAGGTGGGCAGCCTGCCCGGCTGTTTTTCCATCCACTTTAAGGGACAGACCTTTCCCTGGGGCCGACATCTGCTCCCTGCCCTGGCTCCCTGCCTCACCACCCCCTTCCCTGGTGCTCCTGTCCCTCATCCCAGCCCCACCATGGCTTCACCCAGGCTTGACCTCCCTTCCTGGCCCGGATTGCCTCATCCATCCATCCCACACCCCTCCCCATCGCCCTTCAGCCCCTTCCTCCTCCTCCTCCTCCCATCTCCAGCTCTGGACCCTCATCCCCCCTCCACCCTGGCTTACCCCTCACCTCAAGCCTCCTCACGGCCCCACCAGGC